CTATTGTTCTTGTGCTTCACACTTCTCACACATTTTTTACCACCGGGGCTTGCCACCGCGCGTGGGCGGTCACACAGCATAGAAGGAATAATAAACTAGGAGAAAATCAAGGGGAGGTGCTTGCCCGACCAGCAGCGGCCGAGGAGGAAATTTAACAAAGAACATATATCTGCCTACCTACGCATATCTCCCGCACACAGGCACAGCCGACTTTTACTCTCACCATATATATATATATTATATATATATATATATAAGCAACCGAATACAAACAAACAAACAGCAGCTCTCCTTAGAGAAGATGCGTATTGTCATCTCTGAAACCAGCGATGCTGTCGCGGATTACGTTGCGGAGTACGTCATTCAGCGAATTCATGACTTTGCTCCCTCTAAGGAGCGGCCGTTTGTGCTAGGCCTCCCCACTGGTGAATCTCCGATGAAGACGTACCAGCGGCTGATCCAGGCCTACCGCGAGGGGCGCGTCACTTTCCGCAATGTGATTACGTTCAACATGGACGAGTACGTCGGACTCCCGCGAGACCATCCGCAAAGCTACTACTACTTCATGAAGACCAACTTCTTTGACTTTGTTGACATTCCCGAGGATAACCGCAACTTGCTTGACGGCAATGTCCCGGACCTAATCCATGAGTGCCAGCGTTACGAGGATAAAATTCGGCAGGTGGGCGGCATTCACCTATTCCTTGCTGGTATTGGCACTGACGGCCACGTGGCCTTCAACGAACCAGGCAGCAGCCTCAACAGCCTCACCCGTGTGAAGTCCCTCAACGACGAGACTGTTGCGTCGAACGCACGTTTTTTTGATAATGACATTCGGAAGGTGCCAACAATGGCCCTCACGGTTGGCATTAGGACAGTGCTGCAGGCGCAGAGTGTTCTTGTGATTGCGACGGGAGTAAAGAAGGCGGTGGCTGTGGCGCACTTCGTGGAGGGCCACGTCAGCCACTCCCACCCCATCACTGCCCTGCAGTGGCACCGCTCTGCTATCCTTTGTCTTGACAGAGACGCGACGATGGAACTGAAGGTCAAGACAGTCAATTACTTTGAGGGACTTCTGAAGCGCGAGGATGAACTCCGTCGGCGCCAGGAACGGGCCGTGCTGACGTTGGCAAAGATGTAGTCTTAGGCGCGGCGTGAAGTGGCAGGGGAGAGCACCGTGCGCCTCCGACGATGATGCATACAAAAAAAAAAAAAAAAAAAAGATACCCCCGCCTCCCGCCGTGCGTGTGTTGGACGAGGCGCAACGCGGGGGGACGTAGGCGGGAGCCCACCGCACGGCGACACAACGACCAATTAAGTAAACGCAAGCTGCCAGGATTAATTGGTGCTGCAGGCAGTACAGCAAGCGGAAATGCCCCACTAAGAAGAACAAAAGACCACAAGAAAGAAGTCGTCAACGCAACTAATGGGTTTAAAACATAGCGACACAAAAACGGAGGGGGGGGGGGAGGGACATGGAAAAAAAGAACCTTAAGGAAAAAACAGGGATGGGAGAGGGTAAGTGTTGGGACCAGAAAGACTGTTGGAAGAAGCAGAAACAAAAAAGGGGACATAAAACAAAGCGGGATATGAACGTTCGGAGCAATAGTGATCAATCGGTAGAAATAATATTATGGGGAGGTGGGATAAGAGAAATTGCGGGTTCGAGGTTTTCGTACACGCTGCCTCTCTTACTCTTAGCCGGAGGTGCCTCCTGCTTCACGAGGAACCGAGGCTTTTTTTTTTTTT